ATAGGTTTTATGCGGTTATTGGTATATTACTGGTATGCTTTATGACTATGTTGATAGAGGCTTAGAGCCACGCAAGCCTCTCAACCAAACCTCGTATCCAGGGTGGTAATCATAGACCCCTATATGAAACCACATTAGTAGAAGGCGATTGATGGGCAGGATTTTGGCAAGTGCAGATATATTTCCCATTTCTGTAGCCGTTTCATTGACACCGATGCCCCGTATGCTTTCATGTTTCTTACCATTGGAACAAAGTGCCTTGGAAAACGAAATTTGAGCTCCTAGACATCGAAACCCCTCATATCTTACTTCAGTTCATGCGCAAACCATAAATTGGCACTAAAAAATGCATCAATTTACTGTTAAAAAAGAAGTGCTGCAACTGAGTCCGACAGACATAGACTTAGGAGGATGTCGCTGTGGTAAAATTATGGGTAGTAGCGATGGTTTTTCATTTTAACAGTATTATGTTGCTAGCAATTATTGCACACTATTTACTCGAGTCTAATAGTACCCTTTCAAGGGGCATGCGCAATAATTTGGAAGCCGATGTTGCAGTCTTCTTCCATCCTCTGCGAGATGCTGCACTTGTATATCTATTCATAATAGCATTAAGGACAGTCGTTCCGAAGTCCATGAAGTTAGAACCATACTCGGACATTGCTGATCGTACAATGATTAACAATGTAGTTCACAAACCAATCACGCAAATACAAGTGATTTTGCCTCTCTAGCTTAGATTCCGTTGTAAAAACTAAGCTGGATCTAATAATATTCCTGATTAGTTTCGTTTGGTGGTAGATATCGCTGAATTATTATACCGGGCCCCTCAGTTTGCAGTCGCTGAGCCCTAACTAGGTAAACTACCAAATCACAACGTCTATTGAATATCCAAAAAAGCGTTCTACACTTGAGTCAATCCATCACTACTACCTTTCGTTAGAAACATTTTGGACACTAAAATGTCAGGAGTATCGTCCGTACTCGCTTCCTCTCCTAGGAAACTTCGTAAATTTTATTTTAGACATACTCTGCTTTAGCGCGCACACTTATCGGTATGCAGCCCATTTCCTGATGTTTGTTTTTACTGATATTCCTGGTCGGCCCAAACCTAATTTCTGCTTGTTTGTTTTAGTGCGCTGCCACGCTGGGTACCACGGCGACGTGCAGCTACGATCGCCTAGCTGAACTTGGCCCCATCTGTCAGGAGTACGATATGTGGTTGCACGTGGATGCTGCCTATGCCGGATCGGCTCTCATCTGTCCCGAATTCCATCACTTAATGCCTGGTTTGGAGGTAAGATGATATAAGCTAACGCAAAACTCGGGTTTTAAAAATCAGGTTAACTTGCTTGCGGGGGATCGGTTTGAGATATCCGGTATGAATCAGGTGAGATGGTTTTCGGCTGAC